CTCTCTCTCTCTCTCTCTCCCTCACACATCCATCCTTCCTCCTTCGCATCCCCTAATAATCCCCACTTCCCCTCCTCCTCCTCCTCTTCGCGCCTACACAGGCTCTGGACCGTCGTCGTCGCGCTAGCCGCACACACACACACACACTCGCACCTATCCACCTTGGTCCCAGCATCGCCCCATCTCGCAACCACTCACATTCACATTCACGCCTACGCATCCGAGCCACGCCAACATCGGTCCCAGCTCGCCATCCCCTTAAAAAAGCATCCACACCGTATCCGCATTCACACTCGCTCTCAACCGACAACCAGCTCGTAGCTCGTCCATGGCACACCCCGCCGCATCCCAGCCCTACCACCATTCCTTCGCTCCAATGACTTCGCACGCATCCCACGCTAGCTCCGGCTCCAACGTCGTCGGCGTACACTACCGCGTCGGCAAAAAGATCGGAGAGGGCTCCTTCGGCGTCATCTTTGAAGGCACCAACCTGCTCAACTCCCAGACCGTCGCCATCAAGTTCGAGCCCCGAAAGTCGGACGCGCCCCAGCTCCGCGACGAGTACCGCACCTACAAGATCCTCGCAGGATGCCCCGGCATCCCCCAGGTCTACTACTTTGGCCAGGAGGGGCTCCACAACATCCTCGTCATCGACCTCCTCGGCCCCTCGCTCGAAGACCTCTTTGACATGTGCGGCCGCAAGTTCAGCATCAAGACCGTCGTCATGACCGCAAAGCAGATGATCACCCGCGTACAGACCATCCACGAGAAGAACCTCATCTACCGCGACATCAAGCCCGACAACTTCCTCATCGGCAGGCCCATGACCAAGGGCGCCAACCTCGTCCACGTCGTCGACTTTGGCATGGCAAAGCAGTACCGCGATCCAAAGACAAAGCAGCACATCCCCTACCGCGAGCGCAAGTCCCTCAGCGGCACCGCGCGCTACATGTCCATCAACACCCACCTCGGCCGCGAACAGTCGCGCAGAGACGACCTCGAGGCGCTCGGCCACGTTTTCATGTACTTCCTCCGCGGCGGCCTCCCATGGCAGGGCCTCAAGGCCGCCACCAACAAGCAAAAGTACGAAAAGATCGGCGAGAAGAAGCAGTCGACCCCCATCAAGGAGCTCTGCGAAGGATTCCCCGAGGAGTTCGGCATCTACCTCAACTACGTACGCAAGCTCGGCTTTGAAGAGACGCCCGACTACGACTTTCTGCGCGAGCTCTTCACAAAGGTGCTCAAGAGCTCCGGCGAGCAGGAGGACGGCGTATTCGACTGGATGCTCCTCAACAACGGCAAGGGCTGGGAGGCCGGCACCAACCGCGACCGTCGCGACGACCGCGAGCGCCATCGCGAGACGCGCGCATCCGCCGCACCCCAGGCTTCGGCCGCCGCCGCGGCGCAGCAGCAGCAACAACAGCAGCAGCAGCACGCCGCCCTCGCCCGCAACGGCTCCAAGGGCGCGCGCAAGTCGGGCGGCGCACAGCAGCACATGCAGAGCGAGCGCTCCCAAGCGGCGCAGCTGCGCGCCAGCCACGGCGACTTTAACCAGAACGGCTCGGGCTACGGCGGTGTCGGCCACGCATCCAACGTCGCCGTGCACGACGCCACTGTGGCGGGCATCCCCACGCAGAACGGAACGCGGGAACACAGCCACGTGGGCCACATGACGCCCACCGGCATGTCGTCCGGCAACCTCGACGCACGCGGCCGCGGCGCCGACGCACGCCAGGCGGTGGGCATCGCCAACGGCGAAGAGCACCCGGCGGAGCGCAAGACGTTTGGCCAGAAGCTCGTCGACGTGCTCACCTGCCGATGCGGCTGAGAATCGGGAAGCGAGCGCACACGAGCGCTGCGTGGCAACCATACCCGTGGACGCGCGAGCACCTGCCGTCGGCCTCTGCCTCTGCCTCCCCCATCATTGTTCGCATGCTCCCAGCGCGCCTCTCTTCCCCCTCACCCCGCCCCCCTGGCCCTCGCCGTAACCGTCTTTGTGTCGCACACGTTCACTCACTCACCTACTCGCTCTTCACTTTTTACTCTTCTCTCTCTCTCTCGTTTTGTTTTTTTTTTGGTCGATTGCTTGGTGTCTGCCTTCTATACGCGTGTGATTTGGTGGTGCGTAATGACGATGTTGATAAGCTGTTGCTGTGGGGTTGGGGGAGGGGTTTGGGCAGTGTGGCCGTCTGTTTGTGTCGTTTGGCTTTTTGTGATTGATTCGGGCGCAATGATGGCTTGCTTTGTCTCTTTCTTGGCTCGGCGCTCGTGGTGGTGCATCAATTTGACTCATTGCTTGCCTTTTGGCCCAGGTATTTTCTTGCGTGGGATGATGCGTGGTTTTTGCGGTTGACCGCTGCGGTGACTCTTTAACCTTCCCCCGTTTATCGCCTCGTCGCCGCCCACCCCGGCATTTGTCCCCCGCTCGATCCTCTGCTTCACTTTGCCTCGCAGTCATCAGGTTCCATAAGCGAGTCTCTTTGCGCTGGACGAAAGAGTGGGCGGCGCAGAGGCTGAATCGCTACCTCCTCGATTCTCTTTTCTCTGACACCCTCGTTTCGCCGTTGGTTGCATGCTTGGTGCTTCTTTCGATAGCCGCGTGACTCTTCGGCTGTGGGCGTGCGGGAGGGCGATGCAGGGGGCGAATGCAGAAAGCCGTGCCGCTGTTGCACACACGCAATTGCTCACTTTCAATCGCTGCACGTCATGGGCACATGTACAGACCGAAAGAAGGCGTGCACGCCCAACGCGATCGACTTGACCTTGCAACGGTTGCACGACCATTGCACCCCTCCAGCAGCATAGGGTCGCCACCATGGTCCGACATTGGCTCCGCTTTCTCTCTCGGTACCTGCATGCTTTACGTGCAGCTGACCTGCCTCATGTTGGGTCGACTGCTAGGCATACCTTTTGGACGATTCGATCGATTCATCAACTTTGTGCGGTGGATAATTGACAAGCTGCCAATCAATTGAGAGATCGTGCACCACAGTCTGGTGGCGATGGAGAGGTCCAACAAAGACCCAAGTGGAGGTCGTGAGTGATGTGCAGTGCGAGCTCGTGTGGGATGGTGGTACTGATGGTTGTGGTCGGTGAAGGTCAAAGCGACCAGAGTCGGGCTCGGCGAGCTGCACAACAATCCGCAGCCACACAATACGAGGGCTACCAGCGGGCGGAGATGGACTCTTGAACGCGCTCGTTACAAGGCAGCGCCAAACGCACAAGCCAACGCTGGTGGGCGAGGGAGGAGGCAACAATTGGATTGCGCGGCAGCACCGTGGTCGTCACGCCGATAGCTACTTGCGCTTTGGCCTCGAGGCCGCCTTGATTCGGCAGCAAGCCATTGCCACAGCGACAATGCAAGCACTCGCTCTCTTCCTCGTTGCTGTCTCGAGATCATCGTGACTGCAGACGAGCGGAGCAGAAACCGGCAAGCGGTCGATTCTCTGTGCCTAGCTCCGCCCCTGTGTCAAGGAGGGTCGTTGCGCATGCTGTGGATGCGGATCAAGTTTCCGATGCTCCATCCCTCATATCAGCCTCTTCAGTACGATGTTTCTCCGAGGCAATGTAGGCGGCAAGCCATCTGGCACTCGTGGGCGGCTTGGCATTTGGGAGTGCAAGCCAAGACGCGAGTCAATGGGGTCGTATCAGTGCGTACTGCCACTCATGCAAGGTGTGAGGATCCCTGCTTGCTCCCACGACTGCTATGGCGTTGCGCGCCTCGGTGGGGTCAAGGCTGTCGAGCAAGCGCCTGCTGTGCAGAGCGTCGCCATGCTGATTTGGCTTGATGGTGCGGCGGGGTGGTGACTAAGCGCACGCGTGCTTTTTTTGTGGAGGGATTTTCATAAGCGCTTTGCCCAAAAAAATGTCGCTTGGCCGCTCACCATCATCTCGAAGCGTCACTCTGGCACACTCTGTAGCCCAACGGAGCCACGATCTTCGGTAGGACTCAGCGGCGATTCTTCGGGCCCTCAACAACCAGCACGCATCGTCCACATTGGGATTCAGGGGGGTAGATGATCGGCCGACTCTTTCCACGCACACTCGCGCTCGGGGCACGCGGATACACGACCCGCACAGCGCGCCGCGAGCTCCCACCCGTGCCCAACACGTTCCCCCTCCTCGCCTTTGCGGCCACAGCGGCAGTGGGAAGCTGGGGAGCATTCACGGTGTATGCGACCAACAAGGAAAAGCTGTCGAGCAGCATCTTCAAGTCCATCCTGGCGCAGGTCAAGTCGTCACCCTCGGTCCACTCGCTCCTCTCGTCAACACCGGTGCTCAAGCGCGAACTGTGGCTGGGTGGCGTGCCGCATGTAAAGGGGGCGGTGAACATGATGCAGGGCCGCGTGGATCTGAGCTTCAAAATCACCACCGACAAGGAGGAGGACGAGGCAACGGTGTACTTTACCAGCATCCGCGCGCATAAGCACGCCCCCTTCGAGATCATCCGCTTCCTCGTGGTCAGCGACAAGGGAAGCGTCAGCTTGCTCGACCAGGGTCTAACCACGATCGACGACGAGGGCGATATTGTGTAGCAAATTCAATGGCATTACGAAAGCGGTCAGTCGTGCAGATGGTAGCGCTGCACTGTGGGGTCGACAATGTGCGCCGCCGCAAGGTGCGTCGTGTAGTCCGGAGGAGGCGCGTCGACGGGACTGGCGAGGGAAGAAGACGAGGCCCATTCGCCAGTCGAGCTGGTCAGGGGCGCGGCTTCGTCGTGCGGAGAGCGCACGCGCATGGGGCGGTGGAACTGCCTCGTCTCGGCCGCCTGCGATGCCTGCACCGCAACGGCCTGTGCAGCCTGTGAGCGAGCGTCGCGAGGGATCGGCTGTCTCCCCTGCGCAATGTGCGTCGGGGGAGGAGGATCGTACGACTCGCTCGACACGTCGGCGGGATGACCGTTGTACATCTCATCCACGCCGAAAGGCTGTCGGTACGCCCCACCCATGCGCGGCGGATAGGAATGGTGCTCGCCACTGTACCCCTCTGTCCCCGGCGTACGTGCCTGCAACAAGAGCTCGTACCGCTTCTGCCTCAACCTCGCACTCACCCCGGGTCGAACCTTTTCCATCTTCTGGTACAGCCAGTAGGCGGTCCACACGGTGATGACGAAGCTGATGGCGAGCACGACGTACTTGATGATCTTGCTCTTGGTATCCTCGGTGCCGTTGCCCGAGTTCTTGATGGCTACGCCGAGGTAGACGATGAGCAGCTGTTTGGGCAGCGCGAGCACGGCGGCGAGGGTGAAGACAAAGATGTTCATGCCGACGGTGGCAAAGACGGCGGTGGTAAAGTGGCCGGGGATGGCGCTGAGGCGTGCGAGGAACATGACCCAGAATCCGCCGTCGCGCACCATCTCGGCCATGCAGGCGTAGTGGATGTTTTTGCGCTCGTAGCTCGCGGCCATGGAGCGGAGGCAGTGCTTGAACGCGTAGAAGTTGCCGATCTCTCCCAGCAGCGTTCCGAGCGATGCGATGCCAAAGCCGATCCAGATGCCGTACACCAAACCGACGAGGATGAGCACGATCTCGTGCCCAAAAAGCGGCGGGAACGAGATGATGAAGAGGATGGCGACGGGGATGATCCAGCCCCATGCGACGGTGGTGACCTTTTTCGAGATGGGCGTGAGCCAGTCGACGATCTGACGGTGGTAGATGGTGGTGAGCGCCACAATGGCGATGACGACGACGAGCATGATCCACCAGTGGAGATACTTGAGTTGGAACCACGACTTCCAGTCCTTGAGCAGGTCGATGGCCGCCTGCACGCCGCTCTTGCCGCCGCCCGGCGCGTCCAGGTCGGCGGGGAAGCGCTTCATGATCTCGCGCTGCTCGGCGTTGAGCCGACTGGGATCGGGCGGCGTATCTGGCAGCAAGCCGTCGGTGGCCTCGATACGATGCCCACGGCCGTAGCCGAGACGACCCGTGTCGTCGTCCTTGCCGAGGGTATAGTGCGTGGGGCGCAGCGTGGCGTCGTGCGCATCGTCCGAATGCAGGTCCTTGGAATAGCGCGCCTCGTCCCATTCGGGCCGCAGCCGGTCGTCGCCGGGGGTGAGCGTGGCGTACGGATCGTGGTACGGCTGCGGAGCATGCGACGCCACGCCGTGGAAGTGGTGGTAGTCCGCACCATCCATATCGTCGTGCATGTGCGTAAAGTTGGGCCGCGATTGCGAAGCGTAGGGTGCGGCGAGCGGGTCGTCGTACGCAGCTCGCCGCGCCGGCTGCTGCGCGTAGTATGCGTTGGACATCTCTATGACGGTCTACCGCGGTGTGTGCAGGTGTGTGTGGTGGAGGAGGCGTTGCATCTGCCGACGCGAGAGTCTACGGCCAAGCAACCTCGAGATGGTGAAAGGGTCGAAGCAGCGCCTCCCGCCAGCCCTGCCGGTGTGAGTCGCGCGCGCGTCTCGCCAACTGCAGCACCACCAGCTGCACCACCACCTTCGGCAGCCTCGGCAAAGAGGCGGTGCTAAGTTTAAAAGCCAGCACGCCCAACACCCCGCTCCCCTCACTGCACACTCTAACACGCTCGAACCCCCAAAAACCGCCCTGGAAGCGCCTCACACTCGCACCCACCACGACGACACTAGTTGGCACCGTTGGCACCGTTGGCACCGTTGGCTTTCACTGTAACGCTCTCATGTACATACAAGAATCAGGGCCGAGGGTAATGCTACGACTCGGGGGCATCGTCGGTAAAGTGCCAGTTGGTGCAGTCGCGGCACTTTTCTTCGGACCTTGCGCGTGGCACGGCGAGCTTGTCGTCCTCGTCGGTATCGCTGTCCGTATCCCCGCCATCGTCGGCATCCTCCCCTCGGTGCCACGGCCACCTCCAGCCCCGTGTGCGCACTCCATCTTGACCTGCGAGCTTGGCCTTCTTCTTGCGCACCTTGTCGCTCCAGTCCTCGGTGAGCACGTCGTCGACGAGCGAGTTGATGCGGTGCGCATTGATGGTCTGCGACCAGCCGAGCTTGCCCATCGTGTCGTAGACGATGCTCTTGCCCGCGTGGCACTTGCTTTCCATCGCATAGCCGAAGCTGGAGCACACGCTCGCCGCGCCGTTGCACTGGCCCGTGGCGATGGGGTCGGCATTGTTGTACACGTGCACGATCGGCAGTGCCGCCACGGGGTCCTCTTCGGGATGGCGTGCCGGTGGCAGCGGCAGATGCAGTCGCTGTGCAGCCATGCGCTCACCTGGAGCCTGGAACGTCACCGTGGGCACACCGAACGTCATACCCAACAGCGAGGATAGGGCGCCACCGAGACTGTGACCGGTGATCCACACCTGCGAGTCCGGGTAGGCGTACGAGACGTTGTTGAACAGGTCCGTGATGGCGGGGTAGTAGAGCGACTTTTCGATCAACGCACGCTCGACGCACGTCTGGCCGCACGAATCGCCGTGGCCCTGGTAGCAGTCGCAGACCGTGGTCCAGCTCCAGGACACGCGCGCGCAGCAGCACGAAAAGAGCAGATTGTCGTTGGTCTTGTCGCGCCGCGCCGTGTCGCCGCCACCGAGGAAGGCGTTCGAGGTGCCCTTGAGCGCGACGACGATCGTGTCGTTGTCGTGCGTAGTGAAGATGTGCCCGCGGATGCCGTCGCCCTCCCAGCCGAACGAGTTGGTCGGGTCGAAGCCGCCCATGCCATCCCAGTCGGACGTGTCGTTCTTGTACGCCGCCGCCGCCATCTTGGCGAACGACAGCACGGTGGTGCGGTCCGTCACGTCCGGCACCTCTAGCTCCACGTCTTCCCAGTCCAGCTCGGTCGACACCGCACACACTGCGTCGCGGTACGACTCGCCGCGCACCTCGAGGTAGCGCCGCGGATCCTTGGCGCGCGTCACGCGCTGGCGCGTGGTGAGGATGCGCGGGATGTAGTCCTCGCTCGCCGTGTTGGCGTGGACGTCGTTGGCGCTGATGCGGAAATCGTACGGCGCGCGTGCGCGCTCGTGTGCCCTGTCGCCGAGTCCCTGGTGGTACGCCTCGCGCAAGCCGAACGTCTTTACTCCCTTTACGCCCTTTGTGGGGTTGTGTGGCGCAGAGCTGAAGAGCGACGCGATGGGTGCGGTGAAGACGCGCTGCAGGTAGGAGGAGAGCGCCAGAGGCTGCTCGTACAGTGTTGGGCTGGGTGGAGATCGTGGTGGAACCAGGCCTTGCACCAGCACCGCATTTAGACTGCACGCGAGCAGCAGTGCAAACAGAAGCAGCCGCATCGTATCTGACGGAGCCATGGGCACGGCGCCAACGTGCTACGCAGCAGCTCGAGGTGGTCTCACAGAGAGATGCGCCGAGGCTCTGAATCGAGTATGAGATGCGAGGCGAATCCAAGTGCGGCGCTGACTTGCAAGGGCGGCCTCGTGTGCCGAAGCGTAGTAGGAACTGAAAGGGTGGTCGACGGACGAACGTGCTTCGTCTGCAAGTCTCGATACGGATCCAAGCAGACTGTTGCTTGGTGCTGCTGTCCTAGTCTCGCAAAGCTGAATTGGCGGTCGGCTGAGGGATGCACAAAGCTCTACGTGGGCAAACAGCACGGTCAACGTGCAAACGAGGCGGCGAAAGGTGGTGGTAGGGTATGGCGCGATGTGTTGGGGGATGGAGATGGAGGGTGAGAGTGTTTGTTACCCCAAGCTCAGCCCTCCACTTTTGGCTCGGCTCGCCGCGCAACCGCCCAGCTCACTCCAGAGGGGCCGATAAGAATTGGCACAACCTCTCTCTCTCTCGCTTTCAACAACGCGCGCGCCTGACAAAATCAATTCCCACCCCCCGCCCAAGAGGTCACCACCCGAATAACCCCACACCTCGCCACCACACTCACGACTTTCATCCACCACATCCACACTTCCACCCCAATACACTGCACTACGACACGCCACGATACCCTACGACACGCCAACGCTAGCCAGAGAAAGAACGGTTTGTTGTTACATTGGAATAAAGAAGTTATAGAAAAAAAATTCAAGAATCTGGACCGAGGCGCTCGACAAAACTACACGGAGAAGAAGTGCGCCCCACTGGCGGGCCGCACAGCTCTTCTTTTCCAGTGAGAAAGCGGTGGGGGGGAGGAAGCTGGGGTTGTTTTTTTTTTTTTTCCCTCAGCTTTGCCCCAGCGACACTGCCGGGCCATAGAGACTGAGAGCTGTTGTTACATGAGAGTGGCGGTGTGAGAAAGAGTGGTGGAATGATTACGTGCGAGAGGCCTCGAGGTGGTGCACGTGCGCTCGACGCAGCGCCGCCGCCTTGGATCCGTTCCAGGCACTGTCGAGCTCGTGCAGCTCGAGCTTCTCGGGCGGCCCGAACAGCAGCGTCTCCACCTCGGCCTCGCCCGATCCACTCGAACCCGCCTGCGACGCGGGGCTCGGCGAGTCCGACGCCGAGTCGGGCGACGACGAACCAGAGTGCACCAGCTCCGGCGTAGCGTCCTGTACTTTGGCGCAAGCCTTGTTTGCCCCATCGCTCGTTGCATGCTGCTGCTGCTGCTGCTGCTGCTGCTG